CATATATATATATATATATATATATATGAGAGAGAGAGATTTCTTTTTTATGAAAAAAATGTTTTTTTTATGTTCCATAGAAGAAAGTCATACAGTTCAGGAACAACATGAGGGTGAGTAAATGATGACAGAATTTTCATTCCTGGTTGAACTATCTCTTTAAAGTAAAACTTTTCTGTGAGCTTTCTGAGATTATGTAGGTTGGAGGACAGAGGGTACCTATCTGGCCGGCTATGACAGGTGGCCGCACCATCAGCAACACCAGTTTGTCCAGCAGTAGGTGGAGGAAGCGCACCACAGGCTCCAGCTGAGAGGAATTTAGAGCTGCTATATCAGCTCTCAGCTCTGCCTCCAGATTATTCTCCATAATGCGCATGTCTCCTATCCTCACAGGGAACATTCCAGCGCATGGCTCCAGCTGAGAGGAATTCAAAGCTGCTATACTAGACTTCAGCTCTGCCTCCAGATTATTCTCCATAATGCGCATGTCTCCTATCCTCACAGGGAACATGTGCTCATCCAGCGCATGCACCAGTGCAAAGAACTTATCTAAATACTGGTCCTGGGCAGAGGAAAGAAACGCATCAGAGAATGCATTTGTTTTAAGTGGGCTATTAATCAGTATTTTGACAATTTAACTTCTAATTACCTGTGTGTGGATGGCGGATGCAGCCACAACCTCTACATTAAACACCCCTCTGTGGTTATCCACCCATTTCATTCCAGGAAGAGGAACCTACACACAAATGCATGAATGAACTTGCAGCATAATTTCTTTGTATTATTACACATTGCCACCCTAAAATACTCTCAAACACACTTCCTACAAATCATAAGTCCCACTGTAGTGTATATGAAAAATAACAGCATTGCTAACAATACAGGTACCATATTGATTAAAAGCATAGTTAAATATATTAGCACTTGGTCTGTAAAAAATGCTAATGGTAAATAAATGTTCAATGTCCAGGTTTTTTTCTGACAACATCAGTGACCAACGAGGAAAGTCTTTAACATTTAATTTATATTAATATAGAGGGATACAAGATACTAGATACTAAACAAGGCCATTAAAATAATAAAATACATTTTCATATTTAACTATGTGTGTTGTGTGACAGAAATTGCCTTACATCAGGAGAGAGAACAGAGTAAGACTGAGGCGGTTTCTCCAGAGATACTGGAAGGCAGAAGTGACCTGTTCTCAAGCGTCCATTTTGCAGCATGGGAATCCACTGAGGAAAAATAAGAGGCATAACATTTACTATAGGTGTGAACCTTCAGGCACATCATGATTAGATTAGATTTTTATTCAGAGAGTCATGATCCTGGGGCCAGTTGCATAAACATCACTATGTTAACGTTAAACATCACTATGTAACGACTGTGTCTTAAGAACTAGTTTTATTAACAAGCTGTCAATTTAGACCAGAATATGTTTTTTGTAACTGATTTGAAAAACGTATGACTACTTTTTCTTGCAGGGGAAAAAAAAAAAAATTAGATAAGCAGTCTACACAACCAGCCACCGTATCAAAACTATTCTCGATGCATCTCAATTTGCATCTTTGTTATTGAATAAAGGAGGCATGTTGCCTAAATCTGTAAACAGATTTATGGAAATGTTCTCTATTAGCACTGTGTGACTGCCAAAAATGTTAAAAAAGAAAATAAAATCCTTTTATAGTGTTCATGTACACTGTCATTCAAAAGAACTGTCATTCTTTTTATGCTCACCAAGGCTGCAATTATTTGATCAAAAATACGGTAATACTTTTCTTTCTTCTTTAGTTCTATTTTAATGTTTCAAAATGTAATTTATTCTTGTGATGGCAACACTGAATTTTCAGTAGCCATTACTCCAGTCTTTAGCGTCACATGATCTTTCTGAAATCATCTGATATGCTGATTTAGTGTTCAAAAAACACTTGTGGTTGTGCTGGTTAACATTTTTGTGATTTCTTTAATGAATAGAAAGTTCAATATAACAGCATTTATTTGAAATGTAATTTAACGTATCCTTGCTGAATAAAAGTTCTTTTTGTTTGTTTGTTTGTTTTTATTTTTTGTGTGTGTGTGTGTGTGTGTGTGTGTGTGTGTGCTGATTTAGTGTTCAAAAAACACTTGTGGTTGTGCTGGTTAACATTTTTGTGATTTCTTTAATGAATAGAAAGTTCAATATAACAGCATTTATTTGAAATGTAATTTAACGTATCCTTGCTGAATAAAAGTTCTTTTTGTTTGTTTGTTTGTTTTTATTTTTTGTGTGTGTGTGTGTGTGTGTGTGTGTGTGTGTGTGTGTGTGTGTATAAACTATGTACCGTGTATCCAACAGGCGTCTCCAGTGGAGTGTTCTGTTTCTGTTGACAGCTAACATGGTAGAAAGTAAAAAGGATGTGATGATGGTCGGTCAGCGAGGCTGGTAGCTTGATTTTAACTTCATCGTGGAAATCTGGTGATCTGAGGAAACAACATTTGATATACGGGGGGAAAAAATCAGAAAAAGAATGTTAAAATGTCAGTGTCAGTAATCCATTTCTTATACAAATGCAAACAAAAACTTGTCCATCTGTTGTTCTAAATTCACATACAGCTGACCCTGCCGCTCCGTGAGCTGATGTTTGATCCCCTGTTAAAGACTTCTGCATGATGTCATGTAAATGAGTTTTTAATAAAAGTTGCAGCCATTAACTCACCGATTATGATAGACTACAGCAGTATATGCCTCCTTTGAATACTCTGCACAACTGGATTTCCCGAAGATTACCTAAGAGACCAAGGAGTGAAGAACTGTAAGTATCTTATGCCATTTCGCCAAGTCAAGAGAGTGCTTCTCCATGACATGTTTGGTCATATGAAGATTGTAAATTGATCTGCATTGTCAAAACTTACAGGCATAGCATTGCTAGGATCTTCCCCATTCATGAACTGTACTTTCACTGTAATGTTACGGGCTGAGCCTTGACGGTTAGCAAAGTTCAGGCTCTGTGGGTTCACATGCAGCAGGTTCCTACACACACACACAGGTAGACAGAGATTGTATGTTTTTTTAAACACATTTAGAAGTTCCAGTAAGTTTTATAAATCTTATATGCGAAGGTTTTGATAATTTTATGTGTAATTAAGTTTAGAAATGTTTTTTTGTTGTCTCAGACGATTCCTTAACTGAAATTTTAACAGTCTCTTGTTAAAATTAACAGGAAACAACTAATTAATTTTAAAATAGCATTTTAAAAAACTTGGAATTTACACCAAATTTAGTTGCACAAAACAGAACTTCAAAAGAAAAAAAAATTTCTGGTCACATGTGAAAACATCTTTAACATTAACATTAATCCCCATTGATCTTTTCATTGCATAGATTTTTGTTGCACAGCCGTTTCCGTTCTGCGGTTACAGTAGCTGCAGGAACGGACAGAAATACTACTGCAGTGACGTGGAACGCACTCTCCGGGGAGACCGCACAGACTGCAAAGTTCACAGACTTTCCAAGGAGCACAGATCTCTCATGCTCTCTCAAAATTACCTCTCTAATGTGGTGCAAATATTACTTTTATTTCATACAGTGATCTTTTGCTGAAAAGGAAAAAATTAGTAAGGAGAAGTGAATAATGCTTTTGCATTGTACACTCAAGCATCAACAGTTTGTTATTCCATGAAAATATTTAAAATGTTTCCATATTAGTTGCATTTTCACACACACAAAATAACAACAACAAGAGATGCAATAAAAAAGTGGAGCAATTCCAGTTCAGGAAACCCATTAAATGGGTTAATCATTTTCTATTTGGCACAGGGTGTAAGAATGGACATTGCAGTCCTCCCATACCACTGACACACAAGCTCCTACACCCTGAATGGCCTCTGGATACACAATGGGAGTCTGGTCATGTTTGCTGTGTCCACAAATTTGGATTGAGGCCAAACTGTCCGCACCTGTCTGAACAGGACCAGTTAGTCTGAGCGTGCAGCAGGGCAACGATAGTACATCACTGGAGCAGACATAAACCAAGTTAGCTGGCAGGCAAATAAAAATGAAATCAAGTTTGTTTCAACTTTATGCATGTATGTTAATATGGTCAATGTTTCAAAATGCATTATGCATTCAAAAATGTACTATCATCAGATAACAATGTGCTAATTACTTCAGTTTGCTTTTAAATTTAGCTGAATGTTGAAATGTTAAATGCGTTTTTATCTCACATGCAAAAAACCTGTCTGCAAAAGTGTTGAATAGTGTACATTATTCCACAATTAAAAGATTAAACGATTCAATAGTTCAAAAATAGCAACAGGTTCAATAGTTTATCAGTAAGTTCCATATTTAGGGTGTTTGTAAACTTTTTGCCATGACTGACTCATTCCCATTACAAGCTGCTAAGTTTAAAGATATAATCACAACACATGTGAACAAAGAAAACTAAAGCTAAAACATGTACTGAAAAGTGTTGTTGTAAATTCTTACAAGTAAAACTTTTCACCAATGTAACATCACCTAAATGGCTGACATAGATGAGATTTTGTTGAAATATAATGTATGAATACAGCTGTCATAAAGTTGCATTACACCTGTATCGTTTATTTAAAATTGAAAGTCTAGTCATTTTTGTAAAAATCTGAATTTAATCAAAGAAATAATTTTTTTTATCTAACCGATTAAAAAAAAAAATCTAGTATGCAAGAAAGTGAATATATTTGGCAAGTTACCCTAACAGGCCACCAGAAAAAAAAAGAATAAATAAATAAAAATCTCCCACTAAGACCTGATGGGAGATTAATATGAAGCAGCAGCAACAAACTCCCCCAACTTCAGTCATCACTCATTTTTTATTACTGCCTAAGCTGAACCATCCTGTGATTCAGTGACGATTCTGCTTGTACATGCAGACCCTCTCAGTGGCACCTGAGAGTGATGCTTCGCTGATTCAGGAGACCATTAAATCAAAGCCAGAACCATAAATCGCATACTTTTATTATTAATTCCCGTCCAGCGGTACATGCACAGTGCACCAAGTGGCTGTGGTGATGATGTGATCGATCGGCAGGATGATTCATCTGCATCGTTCATCTTTGCTTCTCAGAGGCAACCAGGGGCCAGGTTATGGATGTGTGTGTGTGTGTGTGTGTGTGTGTGTGTGTGTGTGTGTGTGTGTGTGAGATACTGTACATTTTCTGCACCGAGTAAACTTTCCAGATTGGGAGGAGGACGCTCAAGCACAGCCAGCTTAATAATTACCAAATGCTCCCTCCCCCTCTCAGTGTAGCTGTATATATTTTGAGGAATCTCTGCTGTTTTTGGCGTTGTTCTCAGAGTAGGAGATGAGAAGAGTAGCGAGAAAGGGAGGCTAAAAGAGACGAGTATCCAGACAGGCATTGGGAACGCACTGACGCAGTGAACAATTCTGCCTTCAAACCACCTGAAACGATGTTGATTTTCCTGCTTTTTTGGCTGAGCTTGTCAACAACAAGCGCAGCCCCTAACCTAAGGAAAGCACCCACAGAGGCACCTATTCTAGTCACCGCGCCGCCAACTGAGGCTAGATCCCGCTTTGCCATGTTAGATGATGTACGACTCCTGGCTAACGGTCTGCTCCAGCTCGGCCAGAGCCTCAGAGAGTTTGTGCACAAGACCAAGTCTCAGATCAACGACATCTTTCAGAAGCTCAACATCTTTGATCGCTCCTTCTACCAGCTCTCAGTGGTCACCAGTGAAATCAAAGAGGAAGAAGAGAAGTTGAAGGAAACAACCATATATTTGAAGGCCAATAATGAGGAGATCAGAAACTTGTCTATGGAGATCAACTCCAAAATCAACAACATTCTCCAAGAGCGAAGCCAGTTGCACAGCAAGGTTGGTGGGCTGGAGGAGAAGCTGAAGGGCTTGTCTGAGAGCATGATGCCTCTGGAGCAACTTCAAGAGATAACTGCATTGAAGGTGAGTCCAGTAAGATTAATTCAGAACTTCCATTCTAATTAGTCCAAACTCCCATTATAACTAGAGGGCTTCTCAGTACCAATTTTAAAATTCATGTCTAAAAGTGCATGTAAATCACACTTGATGGCAAGAGCAAAACCAAAATTAATGCATATCAATAAAACTGATCATATACAGGGATCTGTTACAGTTGAATCCAGTTATGCATTTACTGCATTAACAACTTGTCTATTGCAGGATGTGATTGAAACACAAGAAAGGACCATTACTGATCTGCTTAAATCTGTTAAAGAGCAACACGAACAGCTCAATTACCAGAAGATCAAAATTAAGAGCCTTGAGGATAAGGTATCCATCCCTGTTTCTATAATGTTTCATGCTATTTCCATTAGAAATGTAAGATTATAAACTTTGAATTTATCATTCAAAGCATTTTTAATTAAAAGGGTCCCCACATCTTTGACAAATGCATTTACAATTACAGTACACATCTTATAGAGATTGCACTAAGAACAATTTCTAGCTAACAAAATATTTTTTTACATTTTATTTATTATAAAATGTATTTGACTTCTTAAGAATTTAATTTGATTATATTTTAAATGAACAGATTAAGTTTTTAATAAATTAGATGTAATTTTAATAATGTCAATGTCAAGTGATTAGAATTAAAAATAATTATAAATGTAACTCTCCTGGCTTTATTTGCATTTACTGAGAAGAAATATTCATTTCTTTCAGCTGAACTATGACTCTTTTCAAGACACAGCTGAAAAACCTTTGGATTTAAACCCAGAAACAACTAACCCTTTTCGTTACTTAAAAATGAACTCCACCAATGGAACTGCGGAAATAAATGGTAAGAACAGCACAAAATCAATTAGTAATTTGATTTTAAAGTAAAAGTTACTTTAATAAATCCAAAATCATCAACTGTGATCTTTGCTTCTGTTTTAAATCTGGTATTTGTGTACTTTGCTTATGTATATTGGTTACTCCGCTCATGTGCAGCACTTTGGTCAGTCTCGAGGTTGTTTTAAAAGTGCTTTAAAAATAAATCGACTAAACTGTGTGTTTTGCTGCACAGACTTTCCAAAGGACTGCAGTGATGTGTTCAAAAGAGGCCAGAGGACCAGTGGAATTTACCCAATCAAACCCAATCAATCTGAGCCTTTCTATGTTTATTGTGAGATAAGTGCTGGTAAGAGACCAATTAGGTACATCTAATCAGACTTCCTATTGATATCAATTACAAAAATTCGGACAAATAAAAAGAAAGGACACAAGAAACTCAGGCTATGTGGCTACTTTCTTAAGAAAGCTGTGCCTTAATCACTATTCTTATCCAGCTGAATACAAGATTCTCTTTTTTACTTTTTACTTTTACTCGGTTTTAAGATGGTGCAGCCACAGTCATTCAGAGGAGGGAGGATGGTTCTGTTGATTTTGACCAGTCATGGGAAAAATATGAATATGGATTTGGCAAACTGGAAAGTAAGTATGGCCTTTTGTGTCATCATGTCAGATGTCTCCTTCTCTACCACTCCAACTGCCTTTAAAAGCTACAATCTAATTCTCTCAGTTCACACAGATTTAAAAAAAAAAAAAAAGAGAAGCCGCTTTGATCATCTATAAACAGCTTATGCTTTTGTTTTATGATGCATCTTTAGCTGGAACTAAGTGTAAATATCCTTGTGTTACAGAAGAGTTCTGGCTTGGCTTGGCGAAGATTCATTCCATTGCTCAACAAGGACAATACATTTTACACATCGAACTGGAAGACTGGAAGGAGGAAAAGAGATTCATAGAGTACACATTCACCCTGGAAGGTCCAGCATCTGATTATGCTCTTCACGTGGCACCCCTGTCTGGAGATCTGCCTGATGCCATGAGCAACCACACTGGCATGAAGTTCTCAACCAAGGACAGAGACAACGATAATCACGACGAGTCAAACTGCGCCAGGAACTACACAGGTATCACATGGTCAAAATAAATATTTAATATCCCTCAATATATAATTGAATATTCCTTGTATATTAACTGTTTGCTGGTTTCAGGAGGTTGGTGGTTTGATGCATGTGGGGACACCAACTTAAACGGGAGATACACCTGGATGAGGTTGAGGGCTCGGCACCAGCGCAGGAAAGGAATCTACTGGATGCCAGCCAAAGGAAGCTCCTATACCCTCAAATCCACAAAGATCACCATCAGACCATCAACCCAGTTTCAATAATCCCTGACCCTATACTCTCCATTGGGTAATTCAGAATCAATCAGAGGGGTCACACTGGCAGCAGACACTAGCCAACAAAGCTTTTCCCTTTCTCTACAGACAGCAGAAACTGAATGATGCAACTGCAACAGGTCATTGACTCTGGTAGAGGGTAAAAGCCAAGTCAAAGGGTTATTGCAACATGCATGTGCTAGTTCGAAATCTTCATAGGTCATCAACTTGCAGCTTGTTGATCAAGAAAAGTTGTTAAAAAAACATCCTAATACTGAACAGGTTCAAATGGCAAAGACCCATGGCGGATCACAGCTCTGGAACAGGATCTGATGCATTTTATTATCAAGAGTCAACAAGAATCAACAATAAGTCTGTAGACTTATATGGATAATATTATAGAACTACATTGCACTCAACTATAGAGCTTCTCAACATCATTTCACATACTGTATGTTAGCTTGAAGTTTTTAAGTATTTAAGCAATTTACACAAATGTGCAACAGTAGAAAGCAATGAGTAACACTTTGTAATAACTTTCATTAAATCATGACTACAATGCTTATGAACACATTTATTATTATATTATACGATAAATATATATTTGTAATTTTGATATTGAAAATTATTACAAAGTGTTACCAAGAAATGTGCTGTTATGGTTGAAGTTGGATCTTTTGCTTGTCTCTTTCTGTTACGGAGTCATATTGACTCCTGGTTACGTTTTGTACATACTCAGCTGTACTGTATATATTTAGTTTACACAGTGTTTCTCAATGGTAGTCAGGTGCATCATATTTATAGCAACACATTTAGACATTAAGGCAAAAATAAAAACCAGTCTTTCTGTAAATTAGCTCACAGCAGTCAGGTGAGACTTCAACTATACTTGGACTCACATGGCAAACTTTTTTTTTAATAAATTTCACTGCATAATTAAAACAGGTTTGAGCAAAATCTTCTCAACAAAGAAAACAGTATATGAACAACTTCACTGCAGGCTCACAACTGAAATAAGCCAGTTTCCAGACTGGCTCTACTGTTAGTTCATGGGGGAGGAAAAAAAATGTAACTGATAATAAATAAATAATCCAGCAAGAGGATCAAGCTTAACCTGTGTGGGAAATCAACCCTTCATAATTAACATGGTATATGACCTGTATATACGACAGACATGACAAGCGTGATAAATCCAGAATGTAAATGTTGTTGGCAGTAAAAGATGTCCCAATCTGCCAAGTCAGCACCACCTAAATCAAGGCTGACTATGCGGCGTCTGGAGGAAGATAACAAAGTTGGCACAGGCTGTGAGTGGACAAACATGCCCTCTGAAAGACAGGTTATGTCAACATGCAGAGGATAAAAATCTTTGTCTGGTCAACCTTGACTAAATTAGTAAGCTTAAATAGAAGGGTTAGTCCATACAGTGAGGTTGTCTGCTCACAAAGAAAGTGCTCTGGTTACTTAGCAATAAGAAGAAGACAGGGCACTTCATAAAAAAAAAAAAAGAAAGAAAGAAAATACTTGTTTGTGTTGGTGTGTGAGGCCTATATGATCTAGACCAGTGGTTCTCAGAAAACACTTGCCAGAAACACCTCGTTTGTTGTCCTGCCATTATTTCAGTGATTTAGCAATGTCACCATGTTACACATTTTCATAATCCTGGCTAGTGGCTGCTTTGGCCTGCCCTCAAACAGTAGGGTAAGTGATTTCGCTATTTCAAGGAGATGCTATTTTCCGCTGCAAGGGCAAAAAAACATTATATGGACTTTCAATAATTAGGCCATAGTTACCATAGATAGAATACTGTTTACAGCTGCTCACAAAGCCTTGGGAGTTGAAACCCAATTATGGTAAGGGGAGTACTATTTGAGACACACACTGCAAACGGTTGACCAACCACAACAGACTGGACCAGATGACTAATCAGATCCAACTGGACTCTTCAGAAAGGGAAGCTTTACAAAAACAGGAACTAAAACAGAGTGCTTCAGGCAGAGGGTGAAAAGAGGCACTGGAGCAATATACAGTCTGTGCTTTTTGAACTTTAAATCATGTGCTTTAAATCAAAGCATTCTAGTAGAGCCCAAAAAATAAAATGATGAACTTGTAAATAACCATAATATGGGCACTTTAATCCAAATATTTAAAAAAATTCACATACAAAATTCATTGGTTAAAATGTGTAGAAACACTGAAGAACATTCAGCTCCTAAAAGTTCTGGAATCCTGAAAATTATTTCAAATTGAATTATTTTAGTTACTTTAAGTTACAAAAACTAGGAGTGCCCATAGATTAAAATAAGTTTTGAAAACCAAACTAGGGCTATTTGCTTGTAAAGTCAGACGTCACACTTCACCGTTACCAGGTCCCAGCGCTATATCAAATCCCAAAAGCAAACAACATATGGTGCTAATATACATTAGAGTTGTGCTGTACTACTACTGAAATATCATGATCCTTACATTTATCTCCATATCAAAATCTTCATCTTTTCTGAATCTTTAAAATATTGGTTTCCAGGACACTGTGAGCCCAGAGACTTTCACACTAGCACGTTTGGTGCACACCCGGGTTCGATTGACGTCAGAGTTCGGTACGTTTGGCTAGTGTGAAAGCTGTCATGCGAACGCGGTTGCGCACCGGGGTACCGAACCCGAGACTACCTGAAGGAGGTGGTCGGAGTTTGATTGCACTCGAACTGTGGCGCAGTTCGCGTGAATATGAAAGCAACACGGACTCGGGTGCGCACTTGTTCAGGAAGTAAAGTAACCTGTGCATGCGTTTTAGCCGATTACAATGTATTTTCTTCAATAAAACACATATAAGTGATGACAGTGTTGCTGATTTACCTTGGATTCGAGGGAGAGTGAGCCTGCAGTATATTCGCGTGTAGCAACTGCAATCAGAGCGGCAAATGAATGGTAATCCGCTGTCTCCTCAAAATAGCCGTCAACATGCGACGCACATTCAGTAAACCCATATGTCGTTTGGGTTAGATAGAATCAAGAGAGTGTGAAACCAGACCAATGCTGGGGGGGTGCCAGGAACAATCACACTCGGGTTCGAACCACAGCAAACGAGCCCAGTGTGAAAGCCACCTAAAAGTTTAGCTTAAATGTGTGCTATAAATAAAAAGTGCTACACATAAAAAGTCTACATTTCAAGTCTTGAAATGTAGTAGAGGCTTGTACTCGGAAACAGTGTTTGTTACATCACAACTTAGCAAGCGAATAGGGTGCCTTTGAATATTATTGTGTTGGAGCCAAAAAGGTTGAGAATTACTGATCTAGACATTTATACCTGTAAGTGGTGTTGGGCACATAAATGTCCCTGGCAGGGAACTCCAGGATCTCTTTTGTTGGCCGCACTCGACTGTCTGGGTAAGGCTTCACTTGGAGCAGATCAGGCGTCAGGCAGTAGTGAGGGTTCTCGGGGGCTGGTGAGATGTCAATCTTCAGCTGGGCTGAGGGCATTTAATAAATGAGTAACATAACTCATTACATAAATGTTAATATGGCCAAAATCTATTGCATAAACATGCCAAAAGAGCTCTACCTGTAATGGGCCTCAGTCTACGCAGCACAGAGGATGGGCGCCGCATGTCGGCTAGGAACTTGTAGAGATCTTCATCACTTAGTCTATCTCCTTCCTAATATGATATATTAATAAAATATGAAAAATATATTCAAATGTCAAAAGCAGGGGTATTTATTAGCTTTAGCGGTCCGACCTATGCAATGACCGGTAACTGGAGGATAGTGAACTTTTGTTTTTTGAATAACAGCATGACCTGTTTGAAGAAGTTGGTGACCGTCAGGGTGGCTGGTCTAAAGCTAGTCAGACTGCATGATTCATCTCCGCTGGTGGTTCTCTCCAGCGAACGACGCCCCACAATACTCGAGTTCCTCCGTTCGGACCAAGAGCCTTTCCGTTCTGTGTAATGATGCAGAGTCAAGTAGTTAAAACTTCAGTACTACAAGATCAGAGAGGACAAAACAAGACAATTGTCAAAAAATAAATCTCTTAAAAATAAATAAATAAATGCTGTGGTATGGCATAAAGAGCAAAAAATTAATAAAAATTGAGATTGGACTAGTCTTACTTCAGTCTTACGTCTTCATCACCCATTTAAATGTTGTTCAGAAAAATAATTTCGAACTACACAAGTACAAGATAAAAATGCACAACCATCTGTGTCATTTAAAGACTCACCTGACAGCCCCATCTCCAGCTCTGTGTCTCTCTCTAGGCTGCCGGCACTGTTCACTATGTTCATGAGGTGTATGGCCGTCCAGGCAAAGGGCATCCGATAACGCCCTAGTCGCTGGCAGAACTGTTCGGACTGACTGCGCAACTTCTCAAGCTTTTCCTTATTCTGTGGTACCAGAGAAGAGAAAATAAAAACAGTCACCATGCTGGACTGAATTCCACCAGGAGCTGGTGTACAATATATAAACTATTATGTTTGGCTTACTTTGGCAGCATCAGATTCTTTAAAGACCATGTAAGGCTCTGCACATTCTCCAATGTCTCCTTGCTGAAGCACCTTCTCAAGCTGAATGCAAACACAGTGCAAATGAGCAATGATAATGCACTGCTTTCAGTCAACACTACTCAAAACACTCCAATTAAGCAATAAATGAACATCAATGCAAAATTAAAATCAATGCAATAATCATCAAATATGCAACTACAAAAAAACAGTACACTTCATAAATCCATTAATTTCATATTAACTTGAAAGCATTAATGCATGCAATGTTTAAAAAAAATATATACATATTTATAAAATATATTGTGGTTTATATTACTCCAGTATTCAGAGTCACATGATCCTTCAGAAATCTTTCTGTTGATTTGATGCTCAAGAAAGATTTCTTATTATTGTTGATGTTTACAACATTTTTTTTTTTTTTTTGTGAAAATCATGATACATTTTTTTTTCCAGGATTCATTGATAAATAGAAAGTTCAAAAGTATAATTATGCATATTTTGCTCATGTTTCATGAATAAGACTCTGACTGTTAAGAAGGATGCTGAATAATGTAACCAACCTTGATAACAAGGAAAACGTCTTGAGAAGGGTAGGTGATAGAAAAGACAGCAGAGCGGGCCAGGGTGGAGATAGCAGCAGATGGGATGTGAGGTCGCAGCATGAACTTCGTTTGCTCAGAGTTCAAATCAAAGTAAAAGTTCTCTGATATCTGAGGATTAAGACAGGAAAACATTAGGATTCATCAATGTCTGACGAACAACTAAAATCCTTGAGCACAGGGGACTACTACCCTCTAGTGTTGAAATTAGTTAACAATGTCTTGTGACATTTCCTGTACACATAAATGTAGCTTGTATTTAAAGTATTGGAAATCAATGGGGTAAAAAAAAAAGTATTCCCATCAAATTTGGTTTAATATATGCAATTTTAAAACACACAATTTAAAAAATAAATAAATATAATACAATGCACAGCATAAATGAGTACGCCCCCTCTGAAACTTACATTCAGAAATTACTCTTTACTTAGAAGGCATGTTAGGGTTCTTTAGAGATATAATGTTCTAGCAAGTCTGCTTGATCAATTACCAAAGAAGCACGTCAAAATTATTCAGGGAAATATGATTTTCTTATCAAAGTGATTAAACGTTGTGTGGCAGAAATTAGTACACCCTCCTGAAAGTTACTAAATAAAATACATTTTAAAACATCTGGTGTAAGTTTAAAGCAATTTTTGATCGAAAGGTAAGTATGTTGAACCAAAACTTTTAAAGAGAATTTCTTGACAATTAAAAGTGTTATATAGCCCAAAGAATAATTCATAGAATTAATACTGACAACAATGGAACCACTTAGGAGAGAACTGTCAGGAGACTTATTTCTTAGCACAGAAGAGGACAGTGGAACAAGAGGAATACCAAATCATTAATTTAAGTGTGAAAATATAGAAAAAATAATACAGAAATTCAGAAAAAAATGGACTTGTGGCAAGGACCCTGAAACAATCAGGCCTTCACTTTAAGCTTTCATTTAGTGATGAGTGATTTTTTGCTAGAAAAAGAGCAGGAGAAATACCAAGCAAGTATCTCAGAGCTGGCAAAAGTTATGAAAAGAATGACTGTTTATCTCACAGAGTAAGATGTAGCCTGCGGAAGTGACATGCATGGTTGTTGTCCACACTGGATCTACTTGCTGTAGCCAAAGCACAATAAACCCATGTAACCTTTTCCAAGGCCCATATTTACAAAATATAAACTTCTGCGAATCCATACTCCGTTCTCACGAGACCAAGTTGATTTTGGATTTAATAACAGCATCCAAAATGTTATGGTGTTGCTAGAGGAGGAGTACTGTGAGAAGTGCCTGGTTCCCACAGTGAAGTTCAGTGATAGTAAAGCTCTTCTATAGAGATGTAAGAGTGCTGAAGGTGTGAGGGAGTTGTGCTTTATCAATGCGTCATGAATTCACACACCACTGTGTGATGTAATACACAAACTTGAAACAGAAGATGTTAACATCTCCTCATTCCCTGTGTTGTTTGGCATTTTTTCAACATGACAATGACGATATGCATTCTCCCAAGTTGAAAATCCTTTAGTGGACATGTATTTCACCCAATCTTAACACTCTTGAGCACCTGTGGGGGATTCTGTAGAGTCGAGTTGAGCAACACTCCCATTGCATTTAAGGAGTTAAACAGGACAGTTGTGACAATTTGTCATGAACTTGTACACTCAGTGCCAAGAAGGGTCAGAGCAGTAGACTACAAATAATGGAGGACATACCAAGTACTAGCATAATTAACATTTGTTGAATTAAATCTAGGGTGTAATGATTTCAGCAGTCCTTCATTTAAACAAAATTGGCTAATTTATTTATTTTACAGATATTAATGACATATATTTCTCTGTTTTTATTAAGTATATGTTTAATACATTTACATTTTGCCATCTTTCCATGAATTGTGTTAACGATCATAGAAAAGTACATCTTTTGTATTTATTTTGGGGGGGGGGGGGGGGGGG